AGAATGCTACTTACTCTGTTTTATCAACCGGTTTGTCCAGTTTGTCGAGATTCCTTATGTTTGCGCTCATTTTGATTTGGACTTCATTTATAAAGTATTTTTTGCTGTTCACATCCACCTAAAGATTGAAGCAAGCTAAACAAGTTTAATTATTTTGGTTTGTTCAGCGGATCCTCTTACCATTTGGCAGTTTGGAGRGAGGGTTGGGATGGTACTGCCCCCTGGGAAAAATCTTTGATGCGCCTCTGGAGCCGTTCCGAAGTTGAGGGAAAACTGGGTCGAGTTGCATTGCAGTTCATTTTKGRGCAKTCATAGGCGAYGAAATARACGCCATCTTGGAAATAAGTCGCCAGAAACAGTCCTACACTGCACTGCAATGACAACTCGACCCAGTTTTTCACTCGACCTCAGAATGGCTAATAGACAAATTCATTTAGTTCAGGTGTGATGATTTTTCCATTTCACGTATAATTCCTTTGAGTATCATTTCTTTGTTTAACGGTTGCAGACCAGAAGACACATGAATATGGATACAACACCAGCATAGAATCTTATTCTCAAGGGAATGACACGTGGTCTGGAACCAGTAAAACGATATATATACAGTTCGTATGCCTAAGGTAAATTTAAACGATGTCAATATGCTAGACATTCGATGCATGCCACTGGTTTCGAAGATCACTCAGKGTTAGCCACGTTTATAAGTGAGCCATTCACACATTACATGTGCACTTTTTACATTACAGTTGACTTTTGCTATTGAACGAGGCTGAGCCTGTGCAGATAAGTCCTTAGTCATTAAACACAGCGATAATTACTGAATTAGAAAAGGGTCCAATGGTTGGAGACTTACCATTCTGTAAAGTGAAGAGAGAAAKTTTCGATCCATGATGTTGTCGGGGTAGCCGATATTTTCTAACAAAGCCTTGGCCTGGAATTACAAAATTACAAAAACTACCTTCGTAACTTGTTTCTGCTCGARGATACAGAGTTACTTCTCAATACTCACTTCCTAAACCTACAAAATGAGTTTCATCAGGAATGTCCGAGTTATTTCAATATTATAATTTCCTCAGGAATGTCCTAGTTATTCAAATATTTCACTAAAGTTTGTYTATATAAATAATATTCCTAGACCTCTCGTCCTCGTTGATTAAGTACAAGTTAAGTAAGTGGGTGGCATGGGTGGCGTAKTGGTYTAYCKCTCGCCTCTCACCRCTGTGGTCCGGGTTCGAGCCCTGGCTCAGACTGGATCATATGTGAGTTTAGTTTGTTTGWTGTGTTGTTCTCTCCATTGCCAMGARGGTTTTCTCCGGGATCTCCGGTTTCCTTCCTCCGTAAAAAKCARCATGTGAKTTGAGTGTTGTATGTTGTAAATATAGAATGTAGTRGTAGTGCRTGTGGAGGGAACCTCACGGAAGARCCYCGCATGGGGAGTGGTGGTTGTAGAATATAAGCTTTTTTATAATTACAGGTCTTTGCCAGTTTGAGCTGCAGGTCAAATGCTAACTACGTATTCATTGGTACTTATAGATATTATTGCTGGCTTTATTTACCGAATAACTGATTTACCTTGTCAATAGCTGCCTGTTTGGTCGAGTTTTCCATCCAGWTATTTTCATGTACATTTTCGATGAAGGCCCTTCTGATATTATCGATAATCTCCCGTGCCTTTTCAAAAGAAAAGAAGTTTAGGTAAGATGCATGGA